AGCCTGGGGGAGAGAGAAGACGTGAAATGCTCCCAGGGAGTGGACGTGGCTGATCATGGATCCTGTGACTGGTGGGCAGTGGAGGCAGAGGTGCTGATGAGGTCTTGAGGAAGGCTCTCACGTGCTTCCTGCATCCTGCGCCGAGCCCTCTGGAAAGCCTCTACAACAGAGAGGGGACAGCAAGCCAGAGTGCATCAGACAGCCTCAGGGAATGGAGACAGAGCCTGTGCATCAGCACCACAAGCTGGGTGCACCACAGTGCCAGGCAAGACTGGGCAGCCCCACCCAGGCTTGGCCCTCACAGGGTGGTTACCCCTCGAGGCCTCCTGAAGCTTCCAGCCCAGATCAGAACATTTAACCTCAGCTATGGACTCAGAGAGCTCATGGGGGAGCAATTATCCCCCCAGTAACAGTCTCCTGTAGTACCCTGCCTGCTCTGTAAAACCAGGGCAAAAGTGAGGCAGAGGCTCCCCAGGAGGAGTGCCAGTGAAAGCCCTACCCAGAACATTGTAGATGGAGCTCTGCTGGCTGAAGCCTCCGAGCTGGTCCAGGACACTCTGCATGCGCTGCCTCAGGGCACTGCTCTCCAGAAAGGCTCTGCACACAAGCACAGCAGGAGGTCAGGGCTGCCAAAACCCAGCCCCCAGGCTGGAGCTGGGACCTGCTGAGCTGCACTCACTTGGACTGCTGCAGGCAGTGAAGCCGGAACGTGACGCTCCCCGTCGTCTCCGTGCGAAACCCCAAGCGGCTCAGACGCTCTCCCTGCAGAGGTGGCACCAGTTAGAGCAGCCCCAGCCTGCTGCCTCCAGCTGCCCCTGCTGAGAACCAGCACGTCCCACCAGGACCCAGCCTCTCCCTTCCTCACTGTACACAAAAAACAAGATCAGAAATCAGGGCGGAGGGTCCCAGGCTCTGCTGAGGGCAGGACCCAAACAGCAGCAAGCTGGTGGTGCAGTGCTGGAGGAAGGCTTTGATGACTGCTCATTAACACAAAGCTACTAAGATAAACTCCCTCATTATGCCAGCAAGCACCTCTGCAGCATTCTTAAGAACACAAAATTTCTACCTGCTCCACACCCACCAAAAATTGGGAACTGTTCCAGGTACAGCCCAGGCCAGATTCCTTATAAAAACATGGGGAGAAGTCCAGAGCTAGTAAGAAATGCTGACCTGACAGACATCCCATATGGGGCTGAGTCAAGGCTTTGGTCCATGTTCACCCTTTTCTCTAAGCTCTGCCTCAGTGACAACTCTGCCTCAGTGTTTGGCTGTTCATGATCACAAGTCTCACAGAGGACGTGTTGCTTTACTCAGAGACAGGACCACAGCTCATCCTCGTTCAAATTTGGTCCTGGCTGCCCACAGACACCTGAAGCCAAATCTCCCAGCACGAGCAATGCCCTGCAGCTGAGCCCACCTTGAAGGTTGATGGTATCCTGACGTAGGTTATGTCCTCCAGCTCAGGAGATCCACCAATGAAAAACCTCCTCAGCTCAGCGACTGTCCCCAGCTCCACAGGGCGCCAGGTAGGGATGGTGAGCATGTGGAGACCTGGCCCAGGACAACAGGACAGCTTAGCAGCTGTGACCAGCTTTGACCAACCTATTCAGAGTCACAGGGGACAGCATGGGAGATGGATACCTGCTGACCTAAACCACAGGAGGCTGGAGATGGAAACACTGCATGGTACCTTGAAATTCTCCCAATGGGTCAGACCCACACCCACTAGGAGCATCTCCTTACTACACGTGGGTGTCAGAATAGTGGTGACCCTCTGATTCCATGTGGGACAGAGTGAGCTGCTGCTACTGTAAGGATGGATATGCAGCATCACTCCAGAGCTCTATCATTTGTGAAGGAACCAGGAAAGGAGCAAGGACAGCAACACAGGATGTGTCTCAACAAGGCAGGATGGTGCAGGATGCATCAAATCTTTCTTTGCTGCCCCATCAACAGCTAACTATCCTCTTCAGCATGCAAAGGCAAAGCCTTCCCAGGACCAGCTGAACCCATTCCCACGAAAACCACTCAGCTCATTCTCCCAGACAATGAACATAATGCCCCAAGTGTTTTACCTGGAGATGCTGGCAGCACCAAAGAACCATAGCCTTCAACACGATACCTCTGCCAGAAATCCAGAGACAGGACCTCGAAGTAGATGACAGGCCACTGGGGGACACTGTCTGCAAGGAAGGGGACATCACAGCTTTGTGAGGGACACATCACAGAGTAGAAAGTAGAAGGAAAATGCCCAACTCCACTAGTAGCAAATCCTTTCTGTGTTTCTTCTACGACGACTAACCTAGATGCAGGGGTGATTATTTTCCCCTGTAAAAGCTGAACCCTCAGCTTTGAGGTTGAAAACAAGAGTTACTGATGTTTAAAAATTTGGAAATATTCTTTGTTTTGAGAGCAAGTCCAGACTGGATCCTGAATGACCTTTGAGCAGACATGACAATCTTTTGTGGGCACCTTTTTACCTCTGACCTTTCCCACTGTTATGGGGGGATTATTAATTTGGTTTCTCCTCTAGGTCTCCAAGCATTTCTTTTTTTCCATGGTGAAACAAACTCCTCGTGTTTATTCTAGGCTAAAAATTCACCAGTGCTGGCTGAATACTCCAATCCAATGGGTACACTGGATTCAAGTGGCAAGGCATGCCACAAACTGTCGTGAGAAATTGCAACCCAAAGAGCAACAGGGCTGGTGAGGAGGCAGCAGCAGCGTAGGGAAGCAGCAGGAAGAAGCAGCAGAAAAGCTCAGCTTAAAATAGAGCTGGAAGTTTCAAAGTGACATAAACTACACAAAGATTATCCAGGTCACTGAGTGCATCCACGAACGTAAGGCTCAGATTTAGCTGTGTACAGAAAAGCTGCACGTTCCTGCTGCTGTCATGTCTCTGGGCTCTACGTGGTACACTGGGCACGGCAGCACAGACCAGCAGGCCAGGCTCTGGAGACACACAAGCCAAGATCTGAGCAGGTTTGCAGCTGGATGAAGCTGACTAGGGCCTGGAAGCAGGGGAATGTTACTGAATCCACACAAATGCTCATGCATTGCTGGGCAGGGCAAACGTGGTACGTGTCCAGGGTGAACGTCTGCTGAATGAGCAACGTTTCACTTTGTTTAAATCTGTCCTTGCATCTTGGTGAGGGGCCAACAACGTGCCAGCCAGCCATGCTGCTGTCAGATTTCAGAGTGAGAAGGAAACGCACCTTCTGATTCGCCTCCTTGGGTGAAAAACATCTCCAAAGTGAAGGGGTAGGAGAAGTATGCCACGTTATCCTAGAAAAGAACAGGCCAGAGGTCAGATTCCTGGACAAAGGAATTCATCACTAGGGTTGCAGGGGGCACAGAGAGCAGGGAGAAAACAATAAATGGTGGAAAAGAGGTAACGATGTCCACACATCGTTAATCACGTCCCACTAGCTAAGCCCTGACTGCATGATGGACCTGCAGGCACTCCCAGGGCCACGTTGATGGAACAGGCTGCTAAAAATCATCAAAAAGGGGAAAGAGGAACACACCTCAAATGACAATTCAGCCAGCTATGTAACTATTACACTGACACAATCTTTACAGGAGCCAAGCAAAATATCTCGAACGATGGTATTACTGAAATACTGTGTGATGATTAGTTTTGTAATATGCAAACTAGCTCACAGAAAAGACATTTAAAAGTTGAGAATATTCAAATTTTGTTAGAGAGGAGCTGGAAACAACAAAGGAACCAACTTCCCAGTGAGGAGGAGAGGTTCATTCTGAGAAATGAATTTAGAGACTGTGTACGTTCCTGCCCCAGGAAAGCCAGGCCAATGCTTCATTAACTGAGCACTACAGAACACAAAAATCAGAGCTCCAAAAGCAATCCATCAGCCAAAAGGAAGAAAAAAGTGAGGCTTCAAAACCTGGAAGTACTTTTATATGGTCTAGTTTTATCTGGACACAGTAGCACCTTGAAAAATGGCAAGGATAACTAGAATGAGGAGAATCCAACGTGCTCTGTCCTTGAAAGGAGCTCTCAAGTCAGGACCTTTGCTGAATGCATCTGTAGCTTGTTACCCAGGTTCCACTCCAGAAAATGCCTGTTCAAACTGTTCCATGGCTATGAAGGAGTCCTTACCCAGCCCACTCTCTTGGTGGCACAGGTCTGTGTCACTCCTGAGAGCTGCTGGAACGCGGGGCTGGACCACTCTGGGAGAAGAGGAGAACAGGAGCACAGAGGTGAATGCTCTGGGTGAGGGAGGATTCACAAACCACAGCAGCTCAAAGGAGAATGTCAGTCCCAGCTGACTGGGATAACAGACAGCATCACCCACACTGAATTTCCCTAGGGATGTCCAGGAAGTGGCTGTTCCCCAGAACAGCCAGACCCAACTTCTCCTGGACACGAGTTGAGTTCAAACAATTGAGTTCTGCAGTTTTAGATCTGAAGACCTCTGACTAGATCCCAGTCCCAACATTACTTGTTACTGAATTTCAGCAGGCTGATCTGATGGACCAGCCAAAGCACCCTTCTTTCCTTAAAACTGCTGTGACATGGCTGGAAACGTGAACACTTACGGTTAGGCAGCTCCAGGAAGAAATGAACATAGAGGTTGTCATACTCATAGCCTTGAGCTGAAACTGAGAAGAAGAGAAGGAACTTCAGCTGCTCACTTCCACCCAAACTCCTCCAGTACTCACTGTACACTTTTGGGAGAGCCAGTACCAATAACCTCAGGGATAACCAGTCACTGCTGGAAGCTGGGAAAAACCAGAGCCTTCAAAGTGACAGAGTATGACCCTCAGAGGAGATTCCTTCTCTAGACTAGCCCTGCCCTCTTATCACTAACCAGAGGTCACACATCTAATTGCTTTCTCTGCTGTGATCTCTATTAAGTTCTCAATTTGCTCTCCTTTTTTGCAGATCCATGCAGGATCTAGATGTCTTTCTAGAACAGCTGCATCATCTGTAACCTCCAATTTGTAAATGCCACTCAAGGGGTTAGTCCCCAAAAACAAGGGAGGAGAAGGAGGAAGTAAAGGATTCTAGGGAGAGAATAAACTACTCTGGACAGGCCTATGATCCAAGAATCCATAGCTTCAGCCATCCCAGAAGACCCAGATTTGCCCCTGTAGATACTGTTTATAATAGGGGCTCACCTATTTCTCCATTCACAAAGAGCCTCAGTGTACCAGGAAGGGTCTGCAAGAAGACAAAGAAGACAAAAAGCTCAACGACCACTGGTGGAACCTCATAAATCCCCTCCCAGCAGGGTCTCACAGAGATATTTCACAGGGGTTTGTGCATGAATGATTCACTCTGCTGCACAGGTAGGAGTCATGACTCCTCCTACTGCTTTCCAGAGCCAACAGTCCCTCTGGAGAGAGGCTCTCTAGAGACCAAATTCCCAGACTGCAGGCGTTTATTATTCTGTAAATCAGCCTCTTACAGGCTTCAAGAGTGAGTTAAAATGTAGTGAGAAGTCACTTGAAGAAACAGAGTCATAGAATCACAGGATCAGTTTGGCTGGGAGAGACATTTAAGTTCACCAAGTCCAACCCTTAACCCAGCACTGCCAGGTCAAATTAGAGTCCTGTTTCTCCTGTAGTGTTCCCCCATTTGCCCAAAGCAAGGAGAGCAGGAGGAAGCAAAGGATGTGCTGAGACACTCTACTGAAGCACAAGAAGGAACAACAACTGTCACCCTTTGGCAAATGGGATCTGAGCAAAAAAAGACTGTGTTCTGGGTCATTCAGTGAGAAGGGAAACTGCACACGAGCTTGGGGCTGGCAGGGGTTGTGCACTTGAACAAAGTGGCACATAGATGTGTATGGCATTCCAGAATTAACAGCAATCACTCACTGAAAAGATATCAACCCTCCTTGCTATAAAGTGCTGCAGTCAGAGGCCTTCAGACAACACAGACACATGCAACAGGCAGCACACTGCTGCTGCTCCAGCAGATGCAGGATGGGTCTCTGCAAGCCCCATACCCACTGCAACCTGCCCCTTTTGACCCAATTTTCTGTTGGAAGACACGAGGTAAAAGCTGCCAGCACCCCCCCCCAGAATGAAACAGTCCTTGGAGATGGTGGTTCAGATGGCAGCTGTGCCAACCAGGTCAGCAGTCTCCAAAGGCTCCAGGTCCTGCCACGTGCTGCTGGTACTCACCACTTCAAACTCTGAGCCCACGAGACCACTGAGGTATTCCTTGTGCCTGCTGTACAGCTGAACACACAGAACAAGAGGAGCAGAAAAAGTGTCTTTTTGATTATATATGTTTTTACTTACTCCCAGAATTGTCACGGATATAACTTAAAACCAGTTTAAATGGTTGATGGGCTTTTTTAAGTTGTTATAGCAGATATAGGAAATCTAAGAACCTAACAGAACAAAGACAGATAACTGCTAACACTGTGTGGAACTAGGTTCAGAGAAGACGTTGTCAAAGGCCAGTCTAAGAGAAAATCTAAGGGAAAAAGAAGCTCTGAGGAATCAGATCTTAAACAAGCTGTTAAAACCACAGGCATAAACTATTCCAATGAAATCCACAGTGGGGAGATTCATGTAGTGAAACCATCATTTCCTTATTGACAAAATTAGAAGGAAATGTACAAATGAACCTAAAACATTAAGGACCTTTATAAACTGCCACAGCCAAAAGGGCAATTTGGAAAGATCAAGACATAAAATGAAATCCAAATATCGTGGGATATTAGGGGTAACAAGAAATCATTGAATAAGAATACAAGTAGCAAGAGGAAGACCAAGGAAGGGGTTTGCCCACTGCTCAAAAGGGAAGGAAAACCACTGGCAGGTGATACTAGGAAGGCAAGAATTTAGGTGGCTTCTTGTATTAGTTCCCCCTACGTAGGTCACTGCAGTCAGAGGTCAACACAACCAACACAAAACGAGGTCTCTCCCTAGAGTGAGGAATGAAGCACTCAGGGAGGATTTCTCTGAGCTCTGATTGCTGGGTGTGATGAGACTCACTGCCAGTGACATTCGTTTGGTCAGCTTCAGGGGTCTACAGCACTAACAGCTACATCTACACGAGGGTCTGGGCTCTGCCAGATCAGAACCCAACGATATGAAGAGTGGTGGCTGGTCCTCACGTCTCTGAACACACGCTGCTCACGTTCCTCCTCCTCTGGCTGCACTTGGACAGACACGTTCTCAATGGTGTACTTCCACACCTCCCGCCTCTCTCCGTCCAGCTCGATCCTGCAGAGCCCCAAAACACATGGGAAAAACTCCCCTGTGGCCCAGAGAACAGGCACAGGCAGGAACAGCACCCACGGTGCCATCCTGGCACCACAGCCCCACCTCCACCAGGCGTGTGCAGTGACACAGGCACCAACGGGCCTCTCCTTGCTCCCAAGTGCCAGACACCATCAATGACTCCAAATATTCATAACCTGTATCCCTAGGGACTGGCACACAGGCTGTATAACCTTTGGCCCCGAGGACAAAGCCCCAGATATCACACACACAGTGACACCAAGCCCAAGCACATAAACATTTTGTCTTAGAAACCTCTGGAATAAAACTAGAAAATATCCCTCAGTTTAGGTGCTGATCCAGTGCCTGAAGGGTGACCAGGAACCAGCCCTTTCAGCCCGTTGTGTCAGCCCCAGCCAGAGGTACCAGCCCTGCCCCACTCACCTGTAGGCTCCTTTGGTGCCAGTAAAGTCAGGCTTCACTGTGATCACCCCATTGCCATCCACCTTGATGGTGCAAAGAACGTGCTCGTACTCCCTGCAACCAAGTCTGAGGAGGAACATCAGAACAAGGAAGACATCAAGACATCTAAATAGAGACCATGGGCATTCTCTTGCTCTGCAACAGCAGAGCTGGTAAAGGTACGTGGGGGTACAGAAGGGAACAGACACACCCACACCTTCCTGCATTAGTTTAAGAAGCCTTTTGGAGAGATACACTCAGTTAACTCCCAACAGAGGAAAGAGGCCGAAGGAAAGAGCAGCCCAAGTTACTGAGCTCTTGGAATTCCCTCCCTTTAACTAGTGAAAGAAACAGGAGATTTGAGCAAGGAGGGAAGACAGGTTTCCTTCTGGGAAATTCAGATCACTTGAGGATTTTACTTACTTCCCATAAGGTCCCAAGTCCCCCATGATGTACATGGTCTGGACAGGAGTGTTAATCACATGATTGTTCTTTATAAATTCTTCTGAGGGTTCCCAGGTGATGATTTTTGACTTCAGAGAACTTGCTTCTCTGTCAAGAACAGAATGGCACAAGTCACAGCTCACCTCAGCAGCCTGGCACGGGCAGCACCGAGCCCCACACGACGAGGAGACAAACTGCCAGGTTCCAAGAGTGACACAGCCCCAGCTACCCACTTCCACGGGCCAGGCTGCTCTGCAGCAGGGCACCAGCACCAGGAAACCTGCCTGGGCAAGCTCTGAGCCCCCCTCTGCACTCACATTGGCTTGCGGTCTTGCCTCCTCCTCCTCACGTTGGCCATCCTCTCTGCCAGATACGACGGCACCTCGTGGTCTGAGTCAGTCACCTTCTGGCAGTGCTGGAAGGGGCAAGCAGACAGGAACCAGCTGAATTATAACAGGACATCTTTCCCAAACACAGCTCCACTGGGGGGACAGGAGAGGTATGGCCACACCCACACGCCAGGACAAACTGCTAAGGGACTAGATTTCAGTCCCTGTCCCTGGGGCAAACTCCAGCTAAACTCCACCCAGCAAGTTACCCACAGAGCAAAGCTGCAAAGCCAACTCTCTCCAAGATGCCTCAGCCACCACTCTGAAACAGATCTCAGCCCAGGTCTGGGGCACCAGAAGTCACTTTGGAGCAGCTGCATGTTCTCCAGCTTACAGATTATCCTGTCTCTGTTCAGTTGACTTATTTAATCTTTATTGATAGCCCAATGGATCTTCACCTTCACTTGTTGGCAGTTCAGGTATTTCCTTCTGCCATTCACTGGATGGGGCTTTGAGTGACCTGCTCTAGTGGGAGGTGTCCCTGCCCATGGCATGGGGGTTGGAACTAGATGATCTTAAGGGTCTCTTCCAACTCAAACCATGCTCTGATGCTCTGATTCTGTACCTGCCATGCTTCTGCATGACCAAGAACTGACAACTGCTCCTTCTGCAGCAGATCTGGTGGTTCTGACAGACACTGCTGTACAGGTGATGTGTAACTAAGCTGGTACCTCCTCCAGGTTGGTGAATCGGTCGTGGTCAGTGTAGGTGAAGATGCGACAGTTCTTCCGCCCTCCAGCCTTCTCCAGTTTCAGGATCTCCTCGTGGTACTGACGGTCCAGGGGAGTCTGGCAGGCTGATGCATTTTGGTACAGATCCACCTCAAACTGAGAGCACCACAGGTAAAGCACAGAAGCTGCCTCTCCCCACCACCGTCAGAGCCACACACACTTTTCAGCTAAGATTTACAAAGCCATCACAGAGAGAGACATGGTCCTTTGGAAATCCTGAGTCCAGCTGAATATAGGAGCCAGCAGTGTGCCCAGGTGGCCAAGAATGCCACCAGCATACTGGCTTGGATCAGCACTAGTGTGGCCAGCAGGACCAGGCCCCTTGTACTCACCACTAGTGAGGCTGCACCTCAAATCCTGAGTTCTGTTTTGGGCTCCTCACTCCAGGAAGGACATTGAGGGGTTGGAGCATGTCCAGAGAGGGACAACAAAGCTGAGCTAGAGCACAAGTCTGGTGAAGAGCAGCTGAGGGACCTGGGGGTGCTGAGCCTGCAGCAGAGGAGGCTCAGGGGAGACCTTCTGGCTCTCCACAGCTCCCTGACAGGAGGCTGGAGCCAGGTGGGGGTCAGGCTCTTCTCACAAAGAACAAGCAACAGAAAAAGAGGAAATGGCCTCAAGTTGTTTAGGCTGGAAATTAGGAAAAATGTCTTCCCTGAAAGGTTTGTCCAGGGCTGTCCCAGGCTGCCCAGGGCAGTGGTGGAGTCCCCACCCCTGGAGGGGTTTCCAAGCCGTGGAGATGTGGTGTGAGGGACACGGGTCACTGGGGACCTGGCCCTGGGCAGTTTGGACTCAATGATCTGAAAGGTCTCCCAACCAAAA